TGGGTGTTGGAGCCTCTCAGTTGACTTCAATTTGGAGCAGCCCCCGTGTGACACACTTCAATCCACACCCTCATGTGACAGCATCAAGCTGCCCCGTCGTGTTCCTGAGTTGCCACTTTTGACGGCCTTTCTCCCAAGGAGCCGCTCGGAGGGTTGGCATCACCAAACCCCTTGTTGGCACCAGGTGCTTAACCTGTGCGCCACCAGGGATCCTGGTTAGAAAGCTCCGGGGTGGCTGTGGGCATGGAGATGTTGGCCTGGGACAGCGCATGAGCTTTCTGTGCGTCCTCTGTTCATGGGCGGGGAGGGGGTGGGGGGTAGATGGGGAAGAGAGGGTGGATTCCATCGCTCTCCTTTTGAGCTTTTTCTATGAGCATCTCTCCCTCTGGAGTCCTGGTGGCGTAGTGGTGACGCCTTGAGCTGCTAACGGCAAGGTCAGCAGTTTGAAACCACCAGTGACCGTGGGAGAAAGATGGGGCTTTCTACGCCCACAGGGTCGCAGTTCCTGAAACCCACAGGCGCAGTTCTCGACGCTGTCCTGCAGGGGCGCCATGAGTCTGAACAGACGCAATGACAGCTGGGTCTGTGGGTCCACGTATGTAAATGTCCATCTCCAGTGCACCGACAGGTAGACGCAGAAGTACCTGAAATAAAACCTAAACCCTGCTGTCGTCCACTCCGTTCCCGCTCAGGGCGACCCTGTAAGGCAGAGGAGAGCTGCCCCTGTGGGTTTGGGTTTCCAACACTGCACCCCCACAGCCCCATCTTAATCCCGAAGGTGACTGGTGGGTTCTAACTGCTGGTAGCCACTGCCACACCTGCTGAGCGGTTCGCATCTGGGATAGTTAATGCAGTTGGGAAGGAGGGGGCATTGGTGGGGTGGGATCCCCTGGTGATTATGGGGAGAACAACACTTCTGGGAGTTGTGTGGAATCGTATTATTTGTTTGAATTCTGAGTAGATGCACACTTTTCAATCCACCATCACCACCCCCCTTTCCCCCTCTGTTTATCTCTGTTTGCCTCCAGGAAATGTGTTTATCCTTGGCCCGGTGGTACGTTTATTCCCAAGTATGTGATTAAGGAACCAAGCCTGCCCCTGCCTGTAGGTGACAAGTGCGCGCATCTGTTTCGCAGCTGGGGACTCAGAAGGGAGGGCTGAGGTGATTCGTATCAGGGCCCCCAGCATCCCCGCTGCTCCCCTGTGCTTTCACACGTGTGAGTCACTGGCTCTAGTGACCGCTTTCCTATCTTTGCCTCAACTATTTTTTTACCGACGTGACTGACCCAGGCTATGTGACTGACCCTGGATGCCTGAGGCAGGCGGGCTTCGCAATGTTTCTGGGAACATGCCTGTATCTCCCTGTTCCGTTTCGCCATGAACTTTCTGCACCCCTTGGATTTTGATCAAGGTTCTGAATTTTTGTTTAATAGGATATTTTGGTATCTCTGGAACATAGGAACTGCCTTAAATGAGTGCAATATCAATGCAGTGAAGCGTGCTCCTGTCCTCCATAAACGGCAAGAGGCCTGGTTTCGTTGCTCTGTTTTGTTTTGCGGAGGGGTGGAGCCTTTTGGGCTTGGCCCCTCTTCCTGACTTTTGTAGATAAAGAACAAACCGTTCCTCTTCTGTTTCTGTTGCGATAGGGAGCCAGGGAGCTGTGCCGTCCAATACTGAAAGCGCTGTGGGCCTTCGAGGCCTGAGAAGTGGAAGATCAGCTAAAGGAGGAAGGCCCTCTCCAGACGGATGACACAGTGGCCTCGCACGTGCCCATTGTGAGGACGGCCGTCCCGGCCGGGTTTCCTTCTGTTGCACACCGGGTGCAATGAGTCAGAACCGACTCCATGGCCCCTGAGAACAACAGCAGGGAGCCCTGTGGTGCTGTGGGCTAGGTGCTGGTCGGTGGGAGCAAGATGAGGTCCTCTGCTCCCCTGACGATGTTCATTCTTGAAAACCATAATTACAGGCAGGCCTGCTTTCCGCTCTGTAGGGGTGGAGCAGAGAGCGGGGGTCTTCCACCAATCCTGTAGTGCTAGCACACCTGAGTTCCACAGTGCGGCTGTTTGGGCCTGTGTGTGTGGCCGTGTGTGTGTGTTTGTTTTTGTGTGTGTGTGTGTGTGCGCGCGCGCGCGCGCGCGCATATATTTAGGTCTAAGTGTCGATACACGTGCAACAGAATGAAGGTATCGACCCGGAGGCTGTGTGGTGAGGGAACAGGAGCGCTGGGGTTCACGTTTCCATAAGCAGACAACAGACGAAAGTTAGGAGATAACCAGCTTCGGTTTTCCCCGCCTGCTTTTTAAAAACTGCCCCTTTTAGTATAACATTTGCCCGTTTAACAACCCCCTCCCTGCCCCCCTGCCCGCTTCCCCACGAATGTGGTGACATCATTCACCCCGAGAAGATGAATGGTTTCGATGTAACAAACAGATTTCCTTTTCTGCTCCAAAGGCCACTTGGACTGGACGTCCCCGCGGCGTCTTGTTACTTAGCTTTTCTCCGTGTTGTGTTCCGTCTTTTGAGTGAAGCGCCTCGTCCACCAACAGAGAAGCCCAGGGAGCCCTCGCCCCCCGTCGTGACGCCGGGTCTCTGACGAACAGAGTGGTGTGTTGCCAGGACGGCAGACTTGCTGCCTGCCGCCAGGGAGCCTGCGATGCCAGGGTTATGGGAAAATATTATGGGGAAATAGTGATTTTTTTTCAATGACGAAATACACAGACAGCATGGTTTCAAGTAACGCAGCGAGCAGAAAGCCGTTTGCTTCTCCAAGTCTAAACATGAACCCCAGTAATTAATCCCCCCCACTCCCCGCCCCCCTCCCCCCCCAATCCCTGGATTTGACCAGGTTGTTCTGATTAGAATCAGATTTTGTAAACTCCTCAGCCCCTTACCATCTCTGGACCGTGCCCTCTTTTCGAATCGTTACCTGCAATGGCCGTTCTGTGCCCTCAGCTGCAGAGTGAGTCTGGAGTGTGCGCAGAGGCATTAATCGTCCTCCCCAGAGCCGGCCAGACAGCTGGAGGGTCGGGGTGACCCCTGGGGGACGAGGGGGAGGCTGTGGAGCGGCTCCTGGACATGTTAATCAGAGCTCCATCGAGCGCTGAATGAGCCTGTCTCTGCCTCTTTTTCCCCTTCAGTCCATTTCTGGTGGAGCTTGATGGCAACTAGGAACCTGGTCACCCGGGGCTTCTTTCTCACTGCCCCAGCTGTATGTCGGTCATCGTTGTCCAGATGGAAATGGGGCCCCCATTGGTGTTTGCATCCTTGGGCCGGGCATCCTCCCCTTGTGTCAAGTCCAGGCCCTCAGGGAGGCTGGAGCCTGGCTCACCCCGATGGAGCCCGGCCATGCCTGCTCCCCATCCAAAGGGGTGTCTTTCCAGGAGTCTGAGCTCCGGCCAAGACTCTTCGTGGCTACTCACAGGTTTTTAGGTCTGAAGCCGTGATGGTGACGGTGCCTTGGCCAAGACCTCCCACTGGCTTCCCTTGTCCCTGAGGTCCGCCCCTTGCTAGCATGGGCTGTGGTCATCACTGTGGGGAGATGCCCCCGAGCCGGTTCCAACTTACAGCAACCGATGTACCGCACACCACCACAGCACCCGGCCCTGCTCGGCCTCCCCGTTGTTCTTCGGCTTGAGCTCATTGTTGGCAACACTGTGTCAATCTGCCCCTTTGAGGGTCTTCCACCTTTTCGCTGCCCGTCAACGTTCCCTTCTCTGGGGACTGGTTCCTCTTGATCACCTGTGCAAAGTAGGTGAGAGGAAGTCTTGCCATTCTCGACCCTCAGGAGCCTTCTGGCTGTAGTTCTTCTAAGCCAACTATCTTTGTTCTTCTACAGTCTGTCGTAAAATTGATACTCTTCATCAACGCCATCCTCAAAAGCATCGATTCTTCTTCTGTCTTCCCTGTTCATTGCCCTGCTCTGCCATTCACATAAGTGAGAGCAAATTCCAGGGCGATGTTGGACGGATGTTTGCTGAAAGTAGAGGGTACCAGAAAGAGGTTTACCTGTATTTTTTTTAATCGGTTTATTAGGGGCTCATACAGCTCTTATCGCAACCCATACGTACATCAATTGTGTAAAGCACATTTGTACATTCATTGCCCTCATCATTCTCAAAACATTTGCTCTCCACTTAAGCCCCCATCATCAGGTCCTCCTGTATTTTAAAGCAGTTGACTCTATGGCTCATACGGATTGTAGATAACGTGGCAAAGAATGGGAATCCTGGAAGACGTAGTTGCGCTCATGGGAAACGTGTCTGTAGATCAAGAGACAAGCCACTCAAACGGAACGAGAGGCTACTGCATGGTTTCAATCAGGAAAGGTGTGTGTCAGGGTTGTATCCTCTCACTGTACTTAGTCTGGGTGCTGAGCAAATAATCCGAGGGCCTGGGCTGTGTGAAGAACTTGGCACCGGGATTGGAGGGAGGCTGAGCAACAGCCTTCCAGACGCAGATGACCCAAGCTTGCTTGCTGACACAGGCAGGCTCTGTCACTGCCTCTTCTGTTCCTGAAGGACTGCAGACACTGTCCGCTTCTTCTGGGCGGAACTCTGGAGCAGCCCGGGAGGCACGAAGCTCATTGTTTAGGGCAGCGGTTCTCGACCTCTGGGTCCTGACCCCTTTACGGGGTCAAATGACCCTTTCACAGGGGTTGCCTGATGTATAACGGTAGCCAAATGACAGTGATGAAGTAGCAACGAGAATAATTTTATGGTTGGGGGAGGGGGGTCACCACCACACGAGGAACTGTATTTAAGGTCAGGTGACCAGATTTAAAGCGGGACACCATTGACCGGAGGGGGGGGGTGTTCTTGATTAAAAATTTGGTCTATATGGACCACATAGACCGTTCCCTAGCTTGTTGTGCATTCTTTCCAAAAATCGGGACTTTTTTAAAACGCCAAAAAGTGGGACTGTCCCTCCAAAAGCGGGACGGCTGGTCACCTTAATTTAAGGGTCCCAGCACGAGGAAGGTTGAGAACCACTGGTTTCGGGGCATGAGTTCTCCTGTGTTTGCCGAGAGATTTGGTACAGACTTCAGAAAGGAACTCGGCAGACGGCTGGCCTTCGGTATCTTCTCCTCCTCTCGACGCTGTGGCGAGTGAGAATGCAGGCTGGCCGTCGGGTGGGGCCCACAGAGCAGGGACTGTGATCCGTGTCAGTGTGGTCGAATCCATCCTGACTCCTGGCCACCCCTGTGTGTCAGTGCACAGCCGTGCTTTATAGAGTTTGCAAGGCTGTGTCCTTCAGAAGCAGACCACCACGCCTGTTTTCCCAGGTGCCTCTGGGTGGGGTTGAACTGCTGACCTTGCAGCCAGGAAGGGGTCAAGGGCTGACCCCCACCCAGATCCTCCCTCACAGGGGACCTGTTGTTAGGTGCCAGTAGTCTTCCTCCTCGTAATGACGCTGTACAACAGATGAAACACAGCCCGGCCCTGCGCCATTCTCACGCTTGTTTTCACACGGGAGCCCGTCCATGCAGCCGCTGTGGAAATACATCGCCTTGAGGGCCTTCCTCATTTTACCAAGCATGATGTCCTTCTCCAGGGACTGGTCTCTCCTGACCCCAGGTGGCTATATTTCTTCCAAGACAGATGTGTTGGTTCTTTCGGCAGTCCGTGGAGCTTTCAATGCTTCTCGCCAGCACCCCCGTTCAGATGCACCGATTCTTCTTCATCTGCCTTACTCAGTGTCCCAACTCCCACATACGTATGAGGCCGCTGAAAATACCAGGGCTTGGGTCAGGCACACCTTAGTCCTCAAAGTAACATCCTTGCTTTTCAGTGCTCTAAAGAGGTCTTGTGCAGCAGATTGACCCAGGGCGACGCTTCCTTCGGTCTCTGGACTGCTGCTTCCATAAGCACTGACTGTACAGCCGAGCAAGACAAAATCCTTGGTGGCTTCAGTACCCGCATCAGGTGCTTCACCTGCAAGAACTTTGTTGTTTGGAAGGGTGTTTGAGAGTCTGGAGCATGCGTGGAGTAGGTGTACCTATCGCATGCTTCACAAACCTAACGACAATGGCTCCCTCTGCCTGGGGAGTGTCAGGGAGGACAGATACTCCCCACCCCACCCTCTACATGAAGGGAGTCTTAGGACTCGGCAAGGGGAGGGAGTAGGAAAGAGAGTTCTAGACGGAAGGGACGTTGTTGATGTTGAGGGTGTAGGTGGTCTGACGTTCCGCATCTTTTCTGTGTTGCAATCAAATTCATTGAATGAATTCCATTCATTCATTTACCCAACAAATAGCAAGCCCTACCGTGTGTGAATGAGCCCAGGTGGCGCTGTCAAGTGAGCATTGGACTGCTAATCTCAAGGTCGGTGGTTCAGACCCACTAGGAATTCCAAGGGAGAAAGACGGGGCTGTCTAGTCCTTTAAAGATTTTCAGCCTGGGAAGCCCACAGGGACCGTTCTACTCAGTCATTTTGATGCAGTGGCAGTGGAGTTGGTGGGCGTGGTTTACCATATGTGGGGAGTGCCTGGTTGGCGTCCATGATTGGTACACTTAGAATGTTGTATGGTTCAGTCCATTTAGGGGTGCCTCAGAAGAAAGGCCTGGCGATCCACTTCTGGAAAACCAGTGGTCGAAAACCCCGCAGAGGACACCTCTGCTCTGGGGCACTAGGGGCTCCCAGGAGGGGGAACTGACTGGAAGCCCATCTGGTTTTTGTTGACTTTTGTTTGTAAATCTCCTTCATCCCTTCTCTTCAGAAATGGGCCAACAAGTTCATTTGCCTAGCTCTTGAACCTTTTTTTCTTTTTGCATTGATTAGTTCCCACATACTGAGAACCGGGGTCTCACTTTTGAGGGTGGGTGGGATGTGGGGTCCTTGGAAAATTGCCCAGTCATCTGGCCTGGTGGGAAGGCTGCGTCTGAGGAAGGGTGACTGTGAGTTGGTGTCTTATGGTTTGCAATCCCTGGGGACTTGGGCCCATTTCGCAGGGACAGAGACTCCCGGGCTGTGTTTACGGTGCCGAGGGGACGTGTGTTTTTATACAAGTGCGGCGCAGCAGAGTGGTTAGTCAGGCAGGGAGATCGTCATTCCTCTGCCAGCCTCTTTCTTGAGTTCTGCCCCGGGAAGAGGACGCTATGGGTAAGGAACAGGGGTGTCCTTGCTGTTGTTTGTCCCCTCGAATCCATTTCAACCCCTTGCGGCCCCATGAGACAGAGTTGCTGTGGTTACGTGTCGTGCTCTACCCACACGGTCAGCAGTTGAACTCATGAGACATTCTAATGCAGAGGGTTAGAGCCTCCGAGACGCACAGGGCTGCTCTCCTCTGTCCGGAGGGTCGCTTTGAGGCGGAGTAGACTCGATGGCAGTGGGTTTGGAATCTTTGTGAGAGCAGGTCACTAGTGCTCTCTCCCAGGAGCGCCCTGCGTGGGCTCCAACTGTCCGCAGTTTCTAGTTAGCGGCCGGGGTGCGTAACCATTGTGGCACCAGGGATGTGTTTACTGGGCGGGAGAAAACCAACCCCCAAGCTCCCTGCCATGGAGTCGCGTCTGTGTATCGGGATCAGCTGCGTTAGTAAAATTAAAGTAGTATTGATTCCAGTGCCATCGAATCAACTCCAGCTCGTGGCGACCCTATAGGACAGGGTAGAACTGCCCCTGTGGGTTTCCCAGAATGCAATGCGTTGTTGTTGTTGAGCGTCGTCAAGCAGGTTCTGACCCATAGCAACCTTAGGAAGCACTGCCCGGTCCTGCGCCATCCTCACAAGTGTTCCCATGGCTGAGCCCGTTCTCGCAGCCACTGTGTCCGTCCATCTCCTTGAGGACCTTTCCCTTGTTCTCTGACTGGCTACTGTACCACACATGATGTCCTTCTCCAGGGACTGGTCTCTTGCCCCTCAGCACGTCCAAAGTATGTGAGACTGCTCTTTGTGAACCCTTGTGTTGGGAACAGTCATAACAGTGTCAACATCTGAGCCTGTCTAACTCCTGGGAGGTCGTGCGATCACGCGACTTAAGATCAGCCCACGGCCGTGCCCTCTGAGGCAGAGGTCAGACACATCTTCACTCTCCAGACTTACCAGTTGCCCCCCCAGCCCTGGCCCCGACACACAGCACTCTGGGTGTCTCTTCTTGGCTTGCAATGGCCACACAGAGCCCACAGCCCATACTCAAACAGTGAGGCGGTTTATTGAGGACGAGGGTACATCCCAGAGGCAGGAAGCAGATGGACAGTGCCCCTTCCTCAGTGCAGGGCAGCGGTCAGTTCCTCTCCTCTCAGACCTGCCATCCGTCACCACCCTCTCTGCTGCTGGGTCCCTTTGGGCCTCTCACAGCCTTCAATGCAACAGCTCTTCTGGACGGTACCTCACCCCGTGTGCTGCCCCCTTCTATCTGTGAAACCTCTGTGGGGACACAACCACCAATACACACCCACACCCTCTCCTTGCCAATTTAAGGCACGGCCCTTCCCAGTTCAGGGGCAGGGCACAAACTGACCAATCTCCTCTCAGGAGGCCCCATTTGGGTTAAACTCACGTAATTTGCATAATCCATTAACCAATCTCTGCTTTAGGCACTGAGCAGGAAGAGGCCGGCCCTGCAGCCCAGGGCCAGACAAAAAGTCTAAGTTGAAAAACAAAAAAGGTCTAAGTTGTTTGGAAAACCCGGGCAAAGATAAGCCCTCAGAATTGAGAAGTGGGTAATCGCTTAAGCTGTCCACAGCAAAGCAAAGGGTTCCCGGGGGCTTGAATGCTGTGCACTTGCTTACTGATTGAAAGGTTGGCAGTTCAAATCCAGCCAGGCAGCACCAAGGAAGAAAGGCCTGGCGATCTTGTTCTAGAAAGATTCCCGTTTAGGGAAAGGGGTCGCTAGGGGTCCTAAAGGACATGATGGTCAGTCATCGGTTTAATGGCAGATTAATCCACCCAGAGGTGCTGCAAAAGAAAGGCCTGGCTATCATAAGATTATCACCATCGAAAACCCCACAGAGCCCATTTGGGGGTTGCCAGGAGTCAGAACACAGCCCATGGCAGCAGGTTTGGGTTTGGGGATTGGGTTGGCCACTAATGTCCCTCTCCTTTCTTGCCCCCTCCTGTTGGCAGCTGCCCATACCTGGCCGTGAAGATCACCCCCGCGATCCCCGTGGTGGGGGGCATCCTGTTCTTCTTCGTCATTGGGACCCTGCTCCGCACCAGCTTCAGTGACCCTGGCGTCCTCCCTCGAGCCACGCCTGATGAAGCCGCTGACCTAGAAAGACAAATAGGTAACACTGTGGGGGTGCCTGCAGGCCGGCCGCCTCCCTCTGTGCTGGGCTGCAGTGTGGAAGGACAGGTGGGAACCGCCAGGGCAGGGCTGGAGCACCCATCCAGTAGGAGGTGGGGTGTGAGGTGTCCGAGGTAAGGCAGAGGGGACAGTGGGCTGGCACCACGAAGCCACAAGGCCCCTCCAGGAAGCCCTGCTTCCAGAGTTTCTCTGAAGCTTCCGTGTCCTGCTCTGTGCCGAGTGCTAGTCTCCATCCTGAGAGGTACCCAGCTGTAAGTCTCTGCTCTCTGCCTCTCAGCTCCGGCAATGGAGACTTCTTAGCCTGTGCATGTCCACTCTTGGGTCCAGAACTGTCCCCATGAAGGTGTAGTCAAATAGACCTTTGTGAGGGACATAGCTATATTTTCCCTTAATCCTTAAGTCCTAGGGTAAAAAGTTGACAGCAGTCTGTTTCAAAGATACCGACATATATTCTGATCCCTGGGACAATTTGCAAGCCCCCTTTTTAAATTTTCATTAAAAGGAGGGAAGTAAAAATCTATAGAGACAGTCATTAGATTAATAGTTTCTTAGGGTTATGACAGGGGAGTTTTGAGGGGAATGGGGATCTAATCATAAAGGATACAAGAAAGAAGAAAATGTTCTCAAATTGATTGTGGTGATGATTGCACAACTCTTTAATATGTTTAAACCATTGACTTGTATGATATGTGAATTACACATCACTAAAACTGGTTGTTGAAAAAGGAGCCCATATAAAACATATGGAGCGAGCCAGAAAACTGTACTTTCATGGTGTGGAGTTAGCAACCAGTGCGGTATAGGTAGAGATACTTCCCCTTATAAAGAAAGGAGATAGTTACAAATGACTTTCAAGACATTTAGGATATTTTGGGTCCCCCAGGAGACAAGTACTACTCGAATGCTAAAATTTCAAATGAGATTTAAAACTAATGCTTTACACTTATTTAGCATAATCATTGAACTGTGCCTTGAATGTTCAATGGGAGCCCTTGTGGGGTAGTGGTAACATGTTGGCCTACTACCTGCAGGACCAGCAGTTCAAGACTACCAGCTGCTCCTCGGGAGAAAGATAGGGCTCTTTCTACTCCCGTAAAAAGCGACCATCTGGGAAACCCACAGGGCGGGTCTACCCTGTCCTGCAGGGTTGCTATGAGGCTTCGACTCAATGGCAGTGAGTTTGGTTTGATTTTGAGTATGTTCTGTTACCACAAACAGCAGCTCCCTGCTTCCCAAACGTGGTCCCCACTCGTCTTCCTGACTCGGGGTGACTACGTGTTGTAGTGTAGGACTGTGCCATAGACTTGAGCCTTTGAGGAGCTGATACCAAGGGCTCAAGTAGGAAGTAAATGTTTTGAAAATGATGATGGCAACATATGATTTTAAAAAGAGAGTGGCAGCCTCAGTAACCACAGGGGCAGTTCTACCCTGCCCTGTAGGGTCGCTCTGGGTTGGAATTGATTCGATGGCAGTGAAGACAAAAAGACTTGACTCTTTATGGTGACCACTAATCATTTCTGATCCCTGTACATTTACCTTTCTGGGATTCCCTTCTTTGTGAAATCATACGTTGTCTGTCCTTTTGAATTGACTTATTTTACTCCATGTAAGGCGTGATTGAACTTGACCAGAGTAGCTGAAGGTGTGAGGAGACTCAAGGTGGGGCAAGGAAATCCCCGGACAGACTGAGATGGCAGCAGTCGGAACCTCGCAGCCACTCTGGAGAGAAACAGATGGCTGCCTCCTTGTGGGGAAGTTCTACTTGGTTCTCCAAGGGCGGTGGGTCAGAATCAAGTCAACAACAGTGTGTTAGGTCTTTCGGAGGAGAGAGAGAGAGCACCTGGAGGGAGGCATCTATAAATTTTGTAGATATGATGAGTCCGTGCATCTTTCTGGTTCGTTCTGATGATTTCTACTCCAATGGACCAGGCACCACCTTTGGCGAGCTGACTTCGCTTAATTGGGCAGGAAGATGGGCGGAATAAGTTTTGTAAACAGAAGATACGTGTGCTGCTGTCTTCAGTAATGCTGCCACCAGACCCTAGACAATTTAAAAAATTTTCCTCCTGCTCTACATACTTTCCTTCCCAGCCTCCTTTGAAGCAAGAGAAACCTCCCTGAGCCCCAGAACAAGTCAGTACGCGTGTGGAGCTGGAGAGAAACCCCATGGGATGGGCTCTTCTCTGGGCTTCTTGTTCTCTAGCCATTGAAGCCCACCTGTGTCTTCCCGCAGTATCCACCAACATCTTTGTCTCTGTTGCTGGGAGGGGAGCGGCAAAGAAGCTGGTAGAAGGAGTGTGGGAGGAAAGGATGGTTCCGCTGCAGCTTTCTTGTGCCCCAAGGAAGAGCAGAGGGGGCAGGACGATGCAACAGTGGGGGAGACCCTCTATTTTCTCTAACACTCGGATTGCCATCCACTTAACACCTAGTGACCACGGAGGACAGGACAGACCTGCCCCCATGGGCTTCCCCGGCTGCAAACCTGCACAGCAGCATTCTGCCACAACCTGGCTGCTGTGTTCAAACCGCTGGCTTTGTGGTCCACAGGGGAGCCCACTTAACTACTGTGCCACCAGCACTGTTTCAGGGATTCCAGGATGGACCTGCTGATTCACCCAAATCGGGAGCCTTATAGTTGATAGCACTTTAATAATTTTTAAGATCGTGTCCATGACTATCACTGCATTTTATTTCATCCGAGCAACCCTGTAAGGAATATTTCACTATTAATTCATCATTCCCATTTTATAAATGTGGAAACCATGTCCCAAAGAGGCCCTGTGGGAGGCTGCGGAGTCTCCTGGGCACCGGTCCTTGTTCTATCAGGATGTTGTGCGGTGTGTGTGTCTGTTGGGGCATGGGGGGGGGGGGCTGCAGGTCCCAGGCCAGCTTCCTCCTCCAGCAGAGGTGGATCTATGGTGAGCTCACTGCCCTTGGAAAGTCCTCTCCTCAAGCCGTTTGTACAGGACCCAGCCTCCACCACGGTGCATAGTTGACCACTGTGCTCCTGTTTTGTGGATAACACGGAGGAGGATGAGGAAGGATTCATCCAAGTGCTCTTTTGTTTGTTTGCTTTTGTGCAAGCGGTTGTTTTCCTAAGGAAGTATTTACTTTGAAACCAGCTCTGTCCCTTACTGCCCCTCCACCCCCATCCCAGGACCTAGTTTGTAAGAGAAACTGGTTGGGCCATGGAGGAAACCAGCCCTTGTGTCCTTCGAAGGAAAGAGGGCTTTGGAGGCAGGATGTCTGGTAAGGCAGAAAAAGAGGAGCTCAGCCTATCGCCTCCCCACAGTCACAAAACCAGACAAACTGAGCAGCAACGGCCGTTTCATGGCCCTTGACTTCGGCCAAATTGAGGAGTATCTATGAAACACTGGGGAGCCTGATGGCGCAGGGGTTACACATTGGGTTGTCGACTGCTGAGAGGTCAGCAGTTCGAGAAACCACCAGCTGCTGCACAGGAGGAAGACTGGGCTGTCTGCTCCCGTAGAGCGTCAGCGTCTCGGAAGTCCGCGGGGCAGTTCTGCTCTGTTCTGTAGCGTTGCTCAGAGTGGACTCGATGGCTGTGAGTTGGTACTTTGGGGTTTGTGAAACACTACTGAATGCTGGGTGAAAACAGTGGGCGTCGATGGCATTCTTCAGGGTCCTGGATGGTGCAATTGATGAACCACGCGTGGCTGCTCGCCAAAAGGCTGGAGGTTCTAGTGCACCCAGAGGTGCCTCGGAAGAAAGGCCTGGTGATCTGCTCCCCAAAATCAGCCTTCAAACCCCCCTAGAGCACAGTTCTACTGGGACACACATAGGCCTTCATGAGTTGGAATCAGCTTGACGGCCGTGGGTTTTTTGACTGGTGGCCTGTTTGCTGGCTGTCCCACCCCAACCTCAATCCCCCAGGGAAGGTCGCTCTACCGACACAGAGGAGCTGTGAATCAGCCTTGCTCCTTACAGTCAAGAATACGGCAAGGGTGTTTGCTCCTACGTCATCCGTTCCACATTGTGCTGGAGACTCTAGTCCAGCCCTTAGGGTCCCAAACTTATTTTGTGCCCATTTCAGGGGGGGAATTACTCAGCACTGCACCCCTGCCCCTGACAATGAAAAACGCTTGTCCTCCAGCCCATAATCCAGGATAAAATGTAAGTACCTGCCTCAGCAGCCTCCTGGATCAGCCCAGCACCTCCCCAGGGAGTGGTACCTCACACTTGAGGAAACCGCCATCTAGCCAGTGGGATGTGCTAATGGGATGAGCCGTTGTGATAAGGCCACAGAGAGAGTCCAGAGACAGCTTCAGATGATGAAGAAAAGCCCGATTGTCTCCTTTCACAGCAGCCCCTGTTCTCTCTCCGACTTCTACAAACAGGTGCCCTGGAGTCACCCAGAACCTCCATGTGACAGAGCAGAACCGCCCCCTGAGGCTTTCTTTGTTGCTGTGAGGCACTGTGGAGTCAGTTCAACTCACCGTGACCGTGTTACAACAGAAGGCAACACCCTCTGATCCAGGGCCACCCGCACCGTTGTTATGTTTCAGCCCATTGCGGCAGCTGCTGGATCAGTCCCTCTCGCCCAGGGCCTTCCTCCTCTTTGAGGGGCAAGCATGGTGTCCTTCTCCAGAAACTGGTCTCTCTGACGTGTCCGTAGTACGTGGGACACGATCTCACCATCCCTGCCTCTCAGGAGCATTCTGACTGTACTTCTTCCACGACAGGCACGTCGTTCTTCTTGGCAGTCAGAGGTACTTTCAGTATGCTTTGCCAGCGCCATCCTTCCAATGCGTCCATTCTTCTTCGGTCTTCCTCATTCTCTGTCCTTCTTGTACCTGCACAGGAGACCACTGAAAATCCCAGCGCTTGGGTCAGGCTCACCGTAGTCCTCAAACTGACGCCCTTGCTTTGCATACTTTAAAAGAGTTGTTGTGCTGCAGGTTACCCAATGCGTCTTTTGACCTCTGGACTGCTGCTTCCATGAGCATTAATTGTGGATCC